TACAAATGGCGTATGACCCCTAACGGACTATATGAATGTTGTTAATGTCATTTAGGATGAAGAGTTAAGATCAAAATTTCAAAATCAAATCTTTTCAAATCTTTCAAACTTAGGGCCCTTCTCATTCTACATATTAGGGCATCTTATCAGTATGCCTAATTATAGTTTGAGTTAGGAAGCGCTAGTAAGGGCTTTTGGATCTTTGGATCCCATTTCTATTTCAATCTTGGGTGTAGTATCAGCAAGCGCTTAGATCTTTTCTAATGTGGCATTAGGTATATGTTAAAGAACTTTTCCCTAGTCACCCAAGTTATCCTGCATCCTTTCCCTTAGGACTCGGCTAACTAGTGTTGGAGAACACCGTTACAGGAACCTTCCTAGTTTAGCCATCCTGACTACATATTTGAAGTTATTCTTTAGGGATAGGTGTGAGTCCCAACACTTAGACATCTTCTCTCTTTGGCCTTAGCTAGTGTTGGAGAATGCCTTCACATACAATTTCATAGTTTATCCATCTTGACTATGTATTTTAATTTGTCATTTAGGGATAGGTGTGAGCCTCCACACTTAGGTATCCTTTCCCCTAGGACGCGGTTAGCTAGTGTTGGAGCACACCTTTTACAGGCGCCTTCCTAGTTTAGCCATCATGACCATATATTTTAATTTGTCCTTTAGGGATAGGTGTGAGTTGCCATACTTGGGCATTCTTTCTCTTAGGATTCCTACTAATTAATGTTGGAGTATGCCTTTTACATGCACCTTTCTAGTTTAGCCCTCCAGATATTTCAGTTAGTCTTTTAAAAGATAGGTGTGAGTCTCCATACTTAGGCTTCCTTTCCTTAGAAGCACCTTCTAGTTTGTTGGAATAGGTGTAAGTCCCCATACTTAGGCGGCCTTTTCTTGAACTAGAATGAATTTCAACTTTTAACTCTAGAGATAAGAGAGAATTCCTATGTTCATGTACCCTCCTTGTAGAACTAGGGAGCCCTTTCAAATTAATCAATCTAAATTCATCACATTTACCAACTTAAATTAATTTTAAGCTTTCATAGCATGCCGAGCTAAGGAATTTGGTAAAGATTGAAGTCAGTCAAATTTTATTACTTCCTGGATCCCATTGGTTGTTTCGGTCAATACCAACCATTTGTTGACCTCACTTTTCGTGAGGTCAATTTTCCTCTATAGTTCTTCTATAATCTAGATCTTCCTATCTTAGTGTAGAAATCACCCTTTGACTTCCTCTTCGTGGACACCTAATGACATAATGTCGGTTCAGCCTCAATCACTGTAATTTAATTTCGATTAAATAGGTTTGCATCGAATCGAATTTAATCAATTTAATTTCAATATTAATGAAAGTCAATCCAATTTTAATTATATTAAATATGGCTATGTCGAGTAGATTCAACATGTTGTTGAGTCAATTCAAATCGATTTATGCTCACTTTGATCTTGATGCCGTTATTATCATTGATGAGCTAGTAATGCTATTTGGCTTTATTTATATGTATTGGGGTAGAAATATTTTCTTTTTATAGATACTTATTGTATGATGCCCTAGAAGAAACTAGCTACTTGCTTAGCATATTATAAAGAGAGGCTAATAAAAATTCTCTAGAAATTTTTGTGTATGCAGTTGTCTACTTCTGCTTTTATTTTCCTTATGTGCATTCGAGCTTAGTAAAGCTATGTAATAAATAAGGTGATTGATAATTGTGCTGCTGAGTGTTGACCCGTCGGTGAGCTACCGAGTGCTGACATGGATGGCCGTTGGTGAACTGCCGAGTGTTGACCCACGCCCGTCATCCGTCTCCTTCGACGACGTTCCTTCCGGCGAGACGACAACGAGTTGACAGGTCGTGTCGGGTTGTTCGAGTTTGAAGCGGGTCGGGTTTGGGTATGAGAAAGTGATCTGCTTTAAAAAAATGGATCGGGATCGGGTTTGAGTCAGGTCAATATGTGTCAGGTCAGTTCCGGGTTTGACCAAGACCTGAACCCCACCCGTGACTCGATTTTGACCGCCCTACTTATTATGCAATTCTCTCTCTCTCTCTCATCTTTTCATTTCTATTTTTTAAGGGTTGAAATGAGGGACTTAACTTTTTTACTATGGAAGAACAAAAAGAATTACAAAGGCCTTAGCCCCAGTATAACTTACTTTACAACAGTGAAATATTAAAAAAAAAACCCTAGAAAATCAGAGTGCATAAAATTGATCTGATTTACGAAGAGATGGTCCAAAACTAGACTCAGAATGTGACAAAATGTTCCCAAAAATCAGCAACACTGCAGTTGCCTACGCCTGAACAAAAGCCATCTAGCAGTGCAGAAGGATACAATGAGGGGGAGCAGCAGTTCATCATCGTCCAACAAAAATCAAAGACATCTAATGAAGCCTGAGCCACATAGAAGAAACTTAACCTCTTCATATTTTTCCTAGCCCTTCACGTTGCCTGAAATAGTTTTTTTAATCCAGTATTGCAAGGACAGATGAGTATGAGCCTCATTGCCAAATCTTCTAGCATTTCATTCCATCCATACATAGTAAGTTAAGCAGCAGACAAAAATCTGTCAAGCCTTTTTTTGTTTGGGCAATGCCGATCAGAAATCATCGAAGAAATCCAACTCTTGAGATAGATTTGGGTGAAGCAGGAACACAACAAATATTGGCAGAATGGTGGCTAATAAATCAAATGAAACTCACACTCAAAGAATGATAGAGAAATAGAGAGAGAAAGATGCCAATCAGAACGCGCAACATTATTTTTTGTTATGCACCGCGGTGTGTACCGAGTGACATGGCGCATTCTGATTTGCCTCCGGACGGTCCCGTGTCCGCACAGAATAATTTCGAGAGAGAGAGAGAGGATGCTAACATATAGTGATGCATCTGAATGAGCATTGCTAGACCAACTTTAAAAAACTTTAGCTCCTCTAATATGAAAATTGGGCTATGAATGGGGAAAAATTATTACGTGTGGGTCCGGATTCGTACGAAGATCAATAAAAATGCATCACATCATCCTAAAAAATATACCGTGCTCGGTAGGTACCGACCGCTCGGTACAGCTCGGTACCGAGCACTGGGCGTGACGGTTGTCCCATCTGGTGTCCGCACAAAATAATTGCCCCTAAATGGGTGGATCAAGTAAATTTGGCATAAACATTATGCTATGAGCCATGAGGCACTCTATACATGCTTGGTTTATATTTGTTGGTGTGCTCTAAGTAGAACTATTATAATTAACCTCTCTCTTACCTTTCTTAGCAAATCCTCCAAAGGTTAATATGGTAAAATGCACTTAAATGTGATGAGCCACTAAAGCTTTATAAAAAAATAATTGCATTGGACATTTCAACTAATAGAGTCATTTTCATATTCCTTATTGCCATTCTAATTGGTTTGCTAAGATTAGATGCTCCAAAATCTCTTAAAATATGCTTTGGGTCTCTCTCTCTTCATCATCCAATTGTTCAGTGGGGGCTCTTCTGACATTTTCGGCTTTTAAAGAGATGCTTGGCCTGCACGTGCAATTATAATTCGTATACGCGACCAAAATTTATTAGAAAATTTGGTGGTCCAATATTTAATTTGCAGAATTAACATTTCCTTCTTTTTATTCATTAAAATTTTATTTAAATGTTAAAATTTATTATTAAATTATAAAACTTCATTATCAATATTTTATGAAATTGTAATTTTTTTTATCAAACCCGTTCGCCGAACTCGTGAGTAGGATTCATCAAAGCTAACTGTCAGCTCGAAGTGAAGATGTTGAGGACTTCAACTTCGTTTGCCACACCTTTCTTACTGTTTTGCTTTTCGACTACAATTATAGCTTTATTTGGCTGTTGTTCATTATACTAGAAAGTTATTTTTTACAATAATTTTAAAAAATTATTTTTTCTATAATAACTTTATTAAATAATTAGAAAGTTTTCACACAAACGAAACCTTCGGTCGAAATTTCATTTTAAATGATATCATTCATTTAAGTAATTTTATACTTGTGTCACTGAAATGTAGTATTTTATGCGGCGTTGTGTTTTGATTCTGACTCATAATAGAGGGGTTAGAGGGTGAGCTTGGAACATGAAATCAATGTCTCAAATTGGAAAAATAATTATGTGCAGAGTCTAGATGCTGTCTGAACTCCAATTACATGAGGACACCTGGATTTTTCTCTTGTACATTGCGTGTGTACAAGAGAGAAATTTTAGGTGTCTTCACGTGTTGGAATCCATATGAAAAGTTACTTCGGAACTCCGCACATAATAATCTCTCAAATTGTATAAAGTTACTTCGGGACTCCCTCTATCTCTCTCTAGTTCTCATTAATTAGGCATTTTTTTCTTAACAAGATTTAATATTGCTCATATCAATAGAAATTTTTAGACTAAAATCTTTGATGATGCGAAATAATTTTTTATCAGCTACATAAAGCTACCTAAAAATAATAAAAAAAATAAAAATTTTCGAAGTGATTAATATTAAGTCAAAGTAAAATTTCAAAGCAGCTGCCACTGTTCACATTCAGATTCTATAGCTCAATAAATAATGCTTCTTGATTAAAAGAAAAAACTCCGTTGAAATCTGTGATCAATGCTGTAGTTTACTGTTCAGTAAAGAACAAAACAGACAGATTTTGGGCCGAGTTTCTGAGCAGATTTCATTTAAGATCTCAAAAATGTTTTTATGGGAAATCAAAATTCGAAGTAAATCGAGAAATTTCAGTCTGTAGCAGAAAATTTTACTGTTACTTCCAAACATTCAAAAATTGTTCAAAAAATCTTTCTCAGTTCTCCTTCACCCTTCTGGCACCATCATTGATTATCCAAAGCAGGACCTAAAAACCGAATTTTTTTTATATAAATTCATAGGGCCCTGCATTAAATAACTGTCCAGAGAAGAGCCTTGATGGATTGGGTGTTAGCTGAACTGAGGCCTTTCAGCAATTACTAACAAAATCATATCGGATTACAAAATGAGGTTACTGAACTAATCCAAAAGAAATTCGTTTTCTAAGAAGAACAAACAGAGCAATCAAATTGCAGAGAACAGAGGAAGATATGTGGAAGTAGAAGGAAACGGAGTGGTTGATGAGATTCACAACCATTGTTTACATTCAGTTCAAAATTCGGATTACTTCTGCTGCCCCTTCTTCTTCCAGAGTTCTCCAAACACTCTGATTCCGCCGCCGCTGCCACTGCCTCTCTTCTTTTGTCCTTCATCGATCTGCGATCCGGTGATCAAAGGCGACCACAGAACTCCATTGGTTGAGAAATTGTAGCTTTCGAGTGGTTTCTGAGTTGATCTGAAATTCTCGTCTCCGGTGGCAATTATGGAGGCTGCAGCCTCTGAGGCTTTGCGCCACTGATCGGTTTGGATTTTGAGACGCTTCATCTCCGCTTCCATGGATGCTTTGGCAGCTGCCTCGGCCTCCAGCTTCAGCTTTAGCTGCTCTACCAATGACTTGCTCTGTTTCAGCTCCTCCTCCGTTCCTGCCAGCTTGATCTCCATCTCCTCTGTTTTCTGACCGGCTATAAAAGAACAAGCTTTTGCTTCCTCTGCTTCCTTTTTAAGGCTTTCCTTCTCCGCCACAACTATCTTCAGCTCCTTCTCCTTCTCAGTAAGCTTGGCTCTCACCATAGCCATCTCCAGAATCTCGGCACATTCTGCCAGCAGCTTACTCTCCACCTCCTCTATCTCCTTTTCCTCAGATCTAACTTTTTCCTCAATCATCACCACTTTTGTCTGCAGCTGGCTTGCATTTTCCTCACTGCAAGAGGAGCCCATTTGATCTCCATCTAAGGTGGTAATGCAGCTATCACTGTCTTTTTCAATCGGCAAAAGCTTCTTCTTTTCGTCTTTCTCATCCACATCATCTGGATTTTGAACAGTTTTCTTCACCTTATCGAGTTTCTTCTGCACAACCGTCTTTGCCGCCTCTGCTGAAGCCAACTGCTCCTTTAGCTTCTTGAGCTCATCCATAGTTTGGTCCAGCTTCGCCTCCAGATCCGCCATTCTCAACACCTTCTTCTTCTGTTCAAAAGGCCTACTTCATAAGACCGAGTTCAAAAGAAAGTAACTTTCAGAAGAAAATTTGAAATGGAACAGAGTACCTCTTGCAGAACAGTGTGAGCAGAGCGACGATCTTCGGGCTTTGCGCTGCGTTCCAAGCCGGCGGTGCGGTGGAGGGAGTTAGCTTCCGAGGAAGCTGTAGACTTGAGACGAAGCGGAACGCGATGAGAATGGCGTTGGTGCGGCAGCTCTGATGATCTGTTTTCAGCACAAAATCACTACATCAAACTGCTAAAAATCTAACCTTTCTGCTTTTCTTCTAACCAAAAGGGAACCATGAGCTCAAACAAACCTTGGCATTTTTGCTTCTCCTCTTCCGTCTAAGCGAGCGGAGTTCGGCGTTCAAATTTTACAAAGAGTGGAGTGGAAGAGCGAGTTCCTAGGTGTGAGTAAGAGAGAGAGAGAGAGAGAAGTGGACTAAAAAGGACGTTTGGGAGAGGACAAAGAGTAACGTTACAGAGGAGAAAAAAATTAATTTGTTTCCAGTTACCGTTGCCCGCTGGTACCTTTCTTTCTCTATCGTTTCATCGCCACTTTTTTAAAAATGGAGAGTTTGGTCCAACTCTCGAACTGAAGAAATTATTAATTTCGAAGTTAGGTTGTAGCTTTATCTATGAATTTTCAATTAAATGAAGATCTGTAATTTTTTTTTTCTAACTTGATCTTACTATCCCGCCCGGCCTAAAGTGCGTATAAATTCTCGTTATAGACATATTGTGTATAAGTTATAAACAGTGAGTGTTGAGATCGGATCTACCGTGGAGTGGTCGACGGAAGAAATTCCTTTCAGCTCATCCGGACTCAAATCCCCTAACAGTCCAAAAAAAAAAAAGTGTTTATAAGCAGGCTGGGTCGTTGGGTCATGCTAGAACTATGTGTCTTCATTTAATTGGACTCTAGACGTAGAACTCGTTCGAACTCCGCACGTAATAATTCTCCTTGAACTGAGCTTAGTATCAATAAAAGTGCAGCATACCATGAAAGGAAATTTTCAAAATACAAGAGTTATAGAGATATGGTGTAATTGTTACATCTCATCATTCGTTTTGTATAATTGGAATGCAATTAAATGTGATTTCGATTGCATCCAGCTATTCAAAATGAATAATCTTGCAAAATTTTATTTTATTTTTGATGTTGAGGGCCAAAGTCCAAAAATAGGAGAGATCATAACTACAAAAGTTTAATGATTATCAATCCTAGTACATGTATCCAAAACTCCAAACAAGTAATTGCCTCTTAACTTCAAAAGGCCAATTGTCTTAAAACTTTAATCTTCTTAACTTATATGCCACCAATAGCTTGATTTTGACCACCATCATAATCTCAGAATGATTCAAATTGAAGAAGTGACTGCCATATCTAGTTTTCCAAATAACATAATTTTTCATGAAAATAATGAGAAGAATTAGCCTTTAAGACATAAAATGAGAAAGAATTTATCATATGGCAACCAATTTCTAATCAACCAGAAATGGATAGGGCAGCTAAAAAAGCTCCTCAGAATTTTCAACAAAGAAAATACATTTTTTCCTTAGCAATAATATCTCTTGTCAAAAACTTATCTAAAATTTTCAGACCATCCAAATAAGTCATACAACAACATAAATAGTGTTTCAGAGAGAGAGAGAGAGAGAGAGAGAGAGAGAGAGAGAGAGAGAGAGAGAGAGAGAGAGAGAGAGTCACTCAAACCAAATCAAATGATGCCAATAAATAGAAGACACATTATTAAAAAATGAATTACTTTGTTAGTGTCATTAAACCAAAAGCACCTTGTCAACTATGCGAGAAATGGTAGTATTAGAAATGGTGTTAAATCAATTAGTGTATAAGGGCTCCAATATGTTTGGAGTATTTCAAAATCCCTTAGAAACTAAAGGGCAAAACCTAATATTGATTGGTAAGCCAATAATTGCAAAATAGATGGGCACCAAAATCTCTATTAGAGAACAACCAATGACCTAGATCTATCAAAATAATGAAACATTATTTCCATTACCATTTAAAAAAAACACAACCCTCTACTCATTTTAATGGCCACAAGATGAAGCTCCCTCTATAATGGTGTCATTTGATAAAAGCAAATGACCAATAAAGGTCCATATGACTCCCTAATCTAACTCAAAAGAAAAAGATAGCAATAATAGAGAATTTTCCAAACTATCCTCATTTTGTTAATATTATTTAGGGTCAAAATTGAAGATAATCCCATGCCACCTTTATCTTTAAGAAGATTAGCTAAATATTATGAAAAAAAAAAGATAGAATCTTGCTAAACACACCCCCCTCAAAGAAAAAATGGTTGGTGATTGAAAAAATTTTCCTAAAATTCTTTTTAGGATATAAGCTTAGTGATGCTAATAAGAAGTTAGGTTGATTATAAAGGAGCATATAAGCTAAAATCTAACCACTAAATATACATATTTGTGATTCCATATATCCATAATTAGTAATTTTTCAAAAAGAGGGAGATAATCTTTAACATGAATTCTATTAGCCCTAAGAGGAATGCCTATATGTCTAAATGAGAAATAGCCTAAATTGATTACCAAAGAATTGCAAAATAATCTTGTGTGACGATAGCTCAAGAGAAGCATGTCTTTGATTTGGGGATATTAGCTTGTAGTCCAATATGTGATTTTTAATAAACATATGATTTCATTTAGGTCCACACAATCATAAAATTTTTCTGACCCATCACTAGAAATAATTAGCAACGATCAGGTGGCAAATACCAAAATTCTCATTATGGATGGGTTGAAAGTGACTATAGGTAATTTCATGATCTTGAATGCAAGAAAATATATCAATGATAATGGTGAGTAAAAAATGGGAGAGGGATATCATTGTCTCAACCCATTGGAGGACATAAGGAAACTTTTAATCTCACATTCAAGTATAATAAAATGGCACTTGATTGATACATGCAAAAATCCACTTAATAAATTTTTGATTAAAATTTTTTTTGTGAAGTCTATTAAGGATGAAAAGTCTATTGATAACGCCTCATGAACATTGAGAGATATGAACTTTTATGCGATTTAAAAGCAAGAGGAATGGTATCAATTATGTCCCTATGTTTGATAAACACAAGAGAGGAAGAGTCTATTTCAATGTATTAGTTAAAATTTTTGCAGTAATTTTATAGAATCTATGTCATAAGGACATAGATATTAGTTAGATAGCATGTTATAATATGATTTTTTAGGAATTTAGATAATCAGATTATGCCTGGTCATATAAAAAATTCTCCAACTCTGAAATTTTTTTTTTTTAACAACTTTTAGAATTTGATACCTATTGTGCACCATGAATGAGTAAGAAACTAAGTTACTTAATGAGTTTAAAAGCTAAATAATTAAAAAACATAGGAGCCTTAAATAGTAAGGAGAGGAGTGTGAGAGTTATTTTGATTATACAAAGTAGAGAAATAATTGGTAACTTTATACACAATATTAGTGCTAAAATATACAACCCCATCTTGAGTAGAAAGCTCTGTTATAAAATTAATATTTTTGCTCTCTTTGATATAATTACAAAGAAATTAAATATTGCCATCTCCTTTAGGTAGCCATCCCAACTTTGCAAATTGTTTGAACAATTTACTTTTACAAGTAGTAACATGGATATATAGCTTAGTAATCTTATTTTCTTCAATTGTCGGTGGGATTATTGTCATGAAGGGAGATAATGGTAGCTTTGCCATTTAAGAAAGAATTTTATTGAGTTGAGGTTTATGATTGTCATGCCCCAAGATCTAAATTGAAAGAATTTCTTTCTTTTTTCTCTTATTTTATTTTCATTTAACAACTAATGGTCATTTATAATTAGATCAATTTGATATATAAAGCTGATTAATTAAAAAAATAAATAACGACATAAACAAAATATCATTACATTTCTACAGTCAATATTTATATTCTACAACCACTGTCCAAAATAATATATACAATAGCCAGTACAAACTAAAGAAAAATGTACTTAAAAACCAAAACTCTAATTACTGCTAAGCCTTAAATCACCAGTTCCTTATCTTTATCTGAAATCATATAAAATCACATGAGTATAAAAGCTTAATAACAACAACAACAAAATCAAGCCTTTATCCCATTATGTGGGGTCAACTACATGAAACATTTTTTTTTCCATTGTATCCTATTAAGAGTTAAATTCTGACAAGTAAAATCAATGTAAAATAAAGAAGAAATAGTATGATGTAAATCATATAAGAAAATCCATGTCAGTAAATGATATATGTACTAGTCACTTATGTCATTCATTTTGTTTTTACCATTCAATCATTATTGCAAGTCTATCAATTATGCAATTATAAAGTAGTATTAATATCCATATTCAATAGCAATAAGTAGTAACATAAATTAGTGTTCGTAAGGTCAACATTCATACAGTAGTTATAATAATAAGCATTATCAGTATCAACATTTTTTGTATCTTGGTCTTGCGCCTATCATTATAACTCCTGATCAGTTGTCATTTATGACTCTCAATTAGTGTACTCATTATAAGTCCTCTTTAGTGAATCATGTGATAGTCGCCAGGATTCCTTATAATTTCCAATCAGTCTCCAACTACTTATAACTCCTAATCAATAATCAATATCAGAATCATCCATGAGACAAATAAGATTTTTGAGGTTATCCCTTCAAGTTCAAGTGGTGTCTTCCGCCACGTAGCACTTTGTCCCCTGTAGGTTCAAGAGGTGACTCTCATGACGTAACACTTTATCTTGTATAGTACTTAATTCCCATCTTCTGGTTGGTATATGTCTCTGATATCACTCTCCCAATCACGTACTCATATTCATTCACATCAATCGTTTCAATCCATATATATCATATATACAATTGCACTCTACATTATGTTTTTATAACTATAAGAATATGCTTCCATCAATAGCATGTGTCGACCTTATTGGTGATAGAGTGTCAATGTTGTCGCCATCAGAGGCTGAAAATGACATTGCTAGCTTTCTTCAATCTGATGCCCACAGGTGTGCCCACAGGTGTGCAATTTTTCTTTTGGCACCAATATTTTTAAGGTCCCCTGTGACGACAAATTTATAGTAGGGTCTTGGGGCACAGCCCACACTTCCAGGGGCAGAAACCCCTTTGAGCCCGAAGAGCAATTGCCCTCCCTAAAATTTTATTATTATTATTATTATTATACAATTCTTTAAATAATTTATCTCCCTAGGCCTATTAGCATAGTTGGTTAGAGGGTTTTACTACTTATTTGGATGCCACAAGTTTGAGACCTGCATGCTAATTATCATTTTATTGTGCCCTTATGGACTTTCTTATTTCTTGAATAGTTATAAGGTTTAAGTAGTTCAGATTTTCTTTATTGAAAATTAAAGTTTGTTTTACTCAGAAGTAACATATAAGTAGCTTTTATCACATTTTAATATAAAATATTTATATATGAGGATTTTTTTGATATAAAATTTTTTACTAATTAAAACTGAAAAGCTAGTAGTCACCTATTGATACATAAAATACCTCAATAAGATGAGGAGATTACTTTATGTTTAATTTTTAAGAGATTTACATACATATAACCATTTTAATTAGGACGACTTCTTTGTTGATAGCCCCTCTTTTAAGAATGTTGTCTTCAAGACGCAGCTCTCAGTTCAAATCTGATGTCTAGATCCCACCACTTCTTGGTGCCACTGCACTTCTCTTCGATGAGCTTTAGGTTTTGTTCGTGATAGTTTTCTTACTGTTTTACTTTTCAGATCGTAACTACAGTTTCTACATAGCTGATGTTTTTTCGTAGATTTCAGAAAACTTTCGTACTAAGAAGCTATTTTTTACAGTATCTTTCAAAAAAACTATTTTCTCTATAATAATTTTATAACCATCTTTATAAAAAGTTGCAGCCGACCCAAATGATTACTTATAGAGTTTACAGAGAAATTAGTAGAGCTTTAAATGTCATGATTTTTTTTTTAATAATTAGAATTGTTGTTTCTAATGATTGTTTTCCTTGGATTGAATATTTTTCCCTATTAGTAGCTAAATGTTGATGGAAGGAAAATGCAGAGAGAAAAATTTCTGCCCAGCAGAAATGATTGAATGAAAGAAGAACCATTAAACTAAGAAGATGAATTCGACTGAACTAACAGAAGGAATGATGTAAGAACAAAGTTCAGCAAGAAAAATGGTGATTGAATTGAGGTGAATGGAGAAGAAGGCTTACTCAAAAAATGTGTAACTGAGTCTAGTTGGTTTGAGGGCTTGTACAAGCTTGACTCAATAAATGATTCTTTAGTCGGCCTCAATGAGCTAACAAATCAAGCCTGAACCAACCTAAACTTGACTCCTCAGTTTGCGAGCCATCTCATTTAAAAAATGTGAATGTAAAATACACTTAAAATGTATAGAAATTCAATAGCTTTAGTAAAAGGGTGTTAAAATTATTTAAGAAGTTCTCTTTTTCTTATTTCAAGTGATTTTTCATTTAATCTTTTATATTTTTTTTATCAAGTTATTATAATAGTTACTTGAATAAGAATGAACTTCTCTTTTCTAATAAATGACATGTTGCATGAGCTAATTTGAACTTGTAGAAGTTTGTTTGAACTCTATTAATTAATTAAGCTCAAACTCACACAGAAGGTGGCTCAAATTCAGCTCCACTTGTCTACACTCCTATAGAATAATGGCTGATGTTTTTAAAATAAGCTCCAATGACCTTATCACGTGCAATAAATAGTGTTTGACAACATAAGTACTCAGTAAAAGTGCAGCAAATACAACAAATTTATTAAATAATTGAATATTTGATGCGCTTTTATTGAGTATTTGCAAAAACACGGTAAATACTCAGTAAAAGCGCAACAAATCCGAACGGTTCTCATTGTCCGATATCTGCACCTAATAATTTCTCTTCCAACATGCCTATATATATAGCTATATGGTAAGTTTGTAGGCGAAAATGTTTGCTATGGAGATCAAAATAAGCAGCTTGCAAGGGCAAAGGGCACTGGCTAAGTATCCTTGTCATTTTCTTTGAAGAATTCTAGAGAATGTTTTTTTTTTTCAACTGGTAATTACTTGTATTAAATAAATAATTTGTAAAAAAATATTAAAAAATACATTGTCAAGCGACTCAAGCTTATGCAGGTAGAATGCTATCATAAATCGTTGACAAAGGTGGTTTATATAAAATGAGGTTGTTGAACTATTATTGTGGGCAATAGTTTGAAGGTGTTGCCTTCAAACCAGTGGATTGCATGAATATTTTGTATGCCATAAGTATGTAGAACATAAATAAGATATGTTTGAAAATTTACTTTAGATAAAATTATCTTCGAGACAATATACTCGTTGTCTCGAAGGTCACCATTCTAGCGAAATCATCTTCTCCTTCACATGTCGTCGGTCCAAAGATGGCTTCCTTAGTGATGCCTGCTTCATGCCATTGGTCCCACAAACTAACTCCTCTTCATTGTGCTCAAACATTGCCGGCCCGCTAAATCACTAGCTTCCACAATGAAGTGTTAACACTGAACACCTCAGCTGGTCCAACAAAAGTTGCTAAGGTCCCATGAACACCGTCAAAACTAATTACAAAATTTGTTGGTCCCTAGAACTAGTTCGAACAACATTGGTCCCACAAGCTTGCTCAAATATCACCGACCCAACGAATTCTTCACGCGCACAATCGATCCAATCTTTATCTTCCCTACCTAACATTGTTCACCAAGATCATGGAATTCAAAGGAGAAGAAATTCACAACATTCGCACGATACGGTTCGAACAAAGTTGGAATCTTAGTTCGAGTTGAGGTTCAAATCTTATTCACCTTCATACTCATTTAAACTAGTTTCAAATTATTAAAAATTCATAAGCAATCTACGAATACAAGAGATTATTCTTCATTGAAGATAATTTCATCTAAGACAAAGCATGTTTTCAAAAAAAAAAAAATTATGAACATATTTAACAAATTTAGGCCATTATGAGGCATGAAAAGTAAAATATTTCTTTCTTTATTTCTTATAAAAATATTTCAGTGACTGTTGCAGTGTTTGAATGCCAACGGTCAAATCTTGTAAAGCTTCATCTGATGAGCTTCCATTTGGCCACTGCTACTTTAGTCAAAAATAAGAACAAATAAATAAATAGAAATAGTCGTTGACAATGGAAGGGACAAAATATTTAGATAGAAAGAATGGTCAAAGTCAACAATTATAGAATTATAATTTTTTTAATTATAAATATTAAAAAAGTATGAACTTTAATGACTTTCAAAATTGACTAATTTTAACAATTTTATTATTTGTAATCAAGAATATGAAACTTTGAAATTTTATGAGGATTTTGAACAATCTGTAATTCTGTAGTATTAAAATGCAATTTTATGATTGTGTCGTTTTTGCAGTCTTCACTGATTTTATTAGAATTTGAGTGCATTCCTCAAGCATTAATAGTTGCATCATATCTTAGTGGAATAGAATAATATTTCTCCTAAATTCAAATTTATGTGTGAGCACATTATAATTTATCAATAGGGTTTTGAAAATATTGATGTTTTGTTGGATGAAAAAGAAATGCAAAGTAAAGTAAATGTATTCATTTTTGTAGTAAACTAAATTCGCCTAGTTTTGCACGAGAATCGTTTATACCGTCAGCAACTAGCTTGACCGCTGCCACCACCGATTGCTCGCCGCTGGCCACCACCGATCACCATTGCCACTGACAACCGTCATCACCCACTGCCGCTTGTTGCCCCTGCGGCCACCACCAGACACCATTGTTGCCACCCATTGACCCACCATAGGCAGCCACTAGAGCCTTTGCCGAAATCCAACCATTTTTGAATTTCGACTGCATTTATTTTACTTCAACCCAAACTAAAAAAAGACATTCACTTATAGTTACTTTCTATTTATTCAAACAACTCCAAAGTATTCATTTTATCATGTATTTTTTTACTACATTTCTTTTTTAACGAAACAAACCAAACCGATCTAAGTGGAGAAATAGTCTATACTTTGTACTATACAAAATTTTGCATATAAGATAAAAGAGTAAATTATATGATGTAGCATAATAAATGATTGCCATAAAATGAATATTTGCAAGTCCAAACTCTTTGATTACATTGTATAAGCATAAGCGATTTCCAATAATAAATGGACCAATGCAAAGTTGCAACGCGACCTCACTTGGGTTAGCCGAATTGGATGATTAATTGGCTACGTCAAGTGGCTTGGATGACTTCGACTAGTCAGTCCTTGGCACCAAGTCCCTCAAGCAATTTGTATGAGTAGTTTATGTCATACTAGCTCTGCTTAATTGGCTTCTAGGTTGAGAACTCTATTGAGTTGAGTGTGGGGATTGATGAATTTGCTTAACTGACTTTGGGGTTGAGTAGGGTTTCTTGAATGGCTTTGGTGAGTTCATTGTAGCAAGTTTGATGGATCCAAACCCTTTAGGAGGGTTAGTAGCCTTGAACTTTTCTGCCCAATAAAATCTTTTGTGTACATTTTGCCTAAGAAAATATTATGTGTACATTCTTTCTTTGATTCTCATCTCTTTGGAAACATAGTAAAAGAAATAAATAATAAATTTTTTATTCAAATTGAGTTCTCATTATGGTTATCATTGTACATGGCCCTAAGAGCTTCTCTATACAAGATAGTTTCAAGAGAAGCCTATACATGGTAACCTTTATAAATGGCTCTATGTACACTGCTCTCTTATTCAAAGGATATTGATAAGCTAGGAAAGTATCGAGTGGGGGAAGTGGCTATAATGATGCTAAAGAATATAATGCATGATAGAGGCGCAACTTTACAAACGAGTCTTCCTCCATGCCTATTTGAAGAAGATTGAGGAAAAAGTTGATGATTTAACTAAAATTAAGGAGGAAAAAAGGAAGTTGCTACCAGGGCATTGCTTGTAAGTGGCCTTCACAAAAAAAAAAAAAAAAAAAAAAAAAAAAAAAAAAAAAAAAAAAAAAAAAAAAAAAAAAAACTA